TTGAGTTTGAGTCTCTAAAGTGGCATGCCTTTGGATAGGCAACATGACCTTCCTGAGCCTCACCTTCCCCATCTATAAAAAGGCTAAGAGAAAAAAGACATTTAAGGGGGCAGGAGGGGATAGCACAGAGTGAGATATATGCCTGAGTCGGCCAGAGCAGCTTTTGTCCTCCATGAAGGCCATCCTGCCCTCTGCCTCCACCTACTCCAAATGCAGCTTCCTGCACTTTGACCCCACTCCTCTGTAGTGTCCAACACAAAGAATCGCAGCCCCTCCAACCTTACTGGGCTCCAGCGGCCATCTCTCCTGGGTGCTCTGTGGCCACCTGATAGGTGGACACCTGCTCCGGGCAACACCAGCCAGTTGGGAGGAAAGATCCAGGGATCTGCAAAGGCAACACAGGGGTGTGAAGAGGGGCATTCCCATGATGAGAAGGGCAAGGAGACAGGGGCCAGCAGAGCTGGGAGGAGGCCTGGGAAGGCTTCCTGGGGGAGGCAGAGACTGGAAACACCATCTAGGAAGTGAGAAGCAGGTAATACTGGCTGAGGTGGGAGTTTGAAATTCATGGTTGATATTCCAGGGCCCTTTCTTCACCAGAAAGCTTCTCTGGGCCCCACCCGCTCCCACCCCAGGCCTGCCTTCCTCTGTCACACTGTCACCTGTGCCCTCTGCTGTTCTCATACTCAGCCCTGGGCTCGGGAGGGCAAATCCTAAGGCCTGGAGCCTTTTTCCTCTCTCCTGGGACCCAGCTGAGGCCAGCCTGTTGAAGTGAGTTATAACTGTTTATTTCCTTTCCCCCTAATACAAATGTGATTCACATCGGGGCAGTGTATAGCATGGTGGATACCAGCATGGGCCGTCAGAGGGTCTGAGTTCACGTGCTCACTACCCCTCATTAGCTGTGCCCTCTTGGGCGAGTTACTAATTCCCTCTGAGCATCAGTTTCTTCCTGTGAAGAAAGATGACGGGCCCTCCCTCCTGAGCTGCTGTGAGGAGCGAATGCTGTGATTCTCCTCTAGTGCTTGCAGGGGCCTGGCGCTCAGTAAGGGCACTGGTAGCTACTGACAACATGATATACAACCAAAAGAAGTGTTTGAGCATCTTCCTCCCACTTGGCAGGGGGTCCTTAGAGGAGAATTTTGGGGTGCGTGCCACCCTCTGCTCACAGGCTCGTCTCTCAGAGTACTGACCATGCAGATCCGCCTCTCCCCAGAGGCCCAGTGCACGGCAGGAGTTGGGCCTGGACCTCAGAGGTCGGTGGGAACACAGGATAGTAGGTTACTGGTTACTGGGTTACTGAGGGCCCACATCTAGGATGGTTGCTGGGGTGGGATGGGATGAAGAGAGGGGTAGGGGTGTGGCCAGCAGGACTCTCAATCAGGACTCACGTTCATGACACTCAGCCAAGTGGGAGGAGGGAAACCAAGTCTGGCCCCAAATGACATTTTCAGAAATGACTTATTGAGAAACTTTGACACAGAGCCACATTATTGCAGAAAAGGGGGAACAAGGACCTCAAGAGGAGTGCCAGGGCATTTCACGTTAATAGTATTAATAATAACAAGTAATACTATCAATAATAAGCATTTATTGAGCACTTACTATGTGCCAGCACCACAACCAAAACTTTATGTGAATTTAATTCTTTAAACAACTGTGTGAAGTGTTTTTATTCCTTTTTATGGAAGAGGAAAGGAGAGGCTTAGAGATGTTAGGTAAGTCTCTTGCCCAAGGCAACTCAGGGTGGAGCCAGAACTCAAATCCTTGTTCTCAAAGACAACATCTAAAGTTCCTGTGGATTCCAGGACCAAGTAAGTGGCCCAGAAAATGGGGAGGGTGAGGGGCATAAAGTCACCCCCACCCTCATTTTCCAGACTGGCCCTCTTGCTGACTGAGGCTTCGCTGCTATCTCACCTTGGTTGGGGGGCTGGGATGGGGGCAGCTGGCTCAGGCATGTGGAGCTGAAGGGCAACAGAGCTACCTCCAGGACCTGGGCCCCTGGACAATGCCCCTTCAAGATGCATCTTCCAGATGTGGCTCCCCTCCCCCCTCAGACAACTCTGGCAGCTGGGCTTGGCTCAGGGGTACTGTGGCCCAGAGGGAGGTCTGCAGCCTGACTGGGGCTAGAAAGCCAGGGGAGGTGACCCTGTTCCTCTTTCTTGATGACCAGGTGCTCTGAGGGTTGGGCTTAGTGGCTGATCCCCTTTCGCTTTGGTGCCCAGTGCCTGGGCACCAGACTCCTTGCATTCCTGTCCCCAGTTTATGGCCTCTCTAAACCTGCAGCCATCTTTGGGGCTCACTTTGTCTGGATCAGATTTGTATCTGCTTGATTATTTTTGGGGGGCTAGCCCTGTGTTGCCAGCAAAAATTATGAGCTCTTCAAGGTCAAAAACCACCCATCCCCAGGACTGGCTGGTTGCTCAGTCGTTAGAGTTGGTGCTGATAACACCAAGATCCAGAGTTTGATCCCTGTACCAGTCAGGTGCCACCCCCCCAAAAAAAACCCCCCCACATAACAACAATAACAAAACCACCTCCCTTGTTGCCTATGGTGCTTGGCATGGGGCAGCCCAGTGCAGAGGGCAGAGTGTGTGCGCTTACTGGGTTTGAATCAGCCCCATCACTTCCTGCTGTGTGACCTTGGGCAAATGATCTGACATCTCTAAGACACAGGGGTCTTATCAGGAAAAGGATAATGATGATCCTTACTCACAAGGTTGCTGTGCAGGTAAAGGGACTCATCAATGAGGAATGTACACTTAGCACAGGGCCCAGACCCTGTGCAGGTTCAATAAATGTTAGTGCTGGTTGCTGCAGATAGAGATGAAGCCACCTCTCTGGAACAGCCTTGCCTGACCACCCTGTTTAAAGCAGGACTCCCATTTATTCTTACTCACGGCACCCTGTTGTTCTTCTTCAGTCCAGCTCGTAATTATACATGTTTGTTTACTTGTCCAAGAGAGCATGGCCTGTGTCTATTTTCCACTGCTCGATCCCCAGCACCAAGAGCAGGAGCACAGTCAATGTGGCATGAACAAATGACGGCCCCCTCCCAATCTCCTTCAGGCAGAGCAGGCTAGGACTTTCCACCTTTCTGCAGAGCCCTCCCATCTTCCCTAGCCCCAGAGATGACCCTGCGCCAGTGTATCTGGGAAGATCTGTGCCAGCCACAGAATAGGTGGGTAAAGATAGCTGGGTGAGAATAGCTGGGTGGCACCCAAGGCTGGGTCTTACACTCACCTGGTTGGCCATGGTCCTTGATGGATGCTGTGGTCATTCTGGGAATACACAGCCACACTGCATCCCCACCAGAGCTCAGCGTGGCCTTCCTCTCACCTGGATCCAGGCCTGACTTTCAGGAGAGGCTTCCTTTCTGCTTCCCACTTTCTTCCAACCCCACCTCCTTCTAGGTCTCCCCTGCCTCCTGCCCTTAACTGAGACCAGGGCCCCCTGGCCTTGGCAGATGTGTGAGGCTGGGGGAGGCACTCTGAGTCCAGATGTGATTGTGTTTATGTTTCCAGAGATTGAGGGGTCGGAGCTCTGGACTGGAGCCACTGGGGGAGGGGTGGTCTGGCTCCAGCCCCCTGCCCCAGCCTTCCCTCCTCCTACCTTTCTCCTCCGGCCTGTCTATCTGGCCCTGTCGGTCTCAGAACCCCACACTCCAAGTCCAACAACATCAGGCTGGGCCATCCTCCAGGGAGGACCTCTCTTCATTCCTCATTTGAAGGTGAGAAGACCAGTGGAAAGATGCCTGGCTTTGGAATCTAGAGGCCTATTGGCTCAGTGTGAACTTGGCCCAGTTTCAGAGCCTCCTGGAGCCTCAGTTCCATCTGTAAAATAGGGATAACTCTCCTGACCTCAGAGGCAGTGTTGACCCGGTTTGAGAATGTGTGCACAGGGCTCTCCGGCTATTACCTCATTACTAAGACTGTGGCTGTGCCCCACTCCCAGCTAGGGCTTGCCTCGCTCCAACTCCGGGGCAGTGCCAATCCTCATCACAAGGTGATGCTAAAGCAGAATATCAACCCCTCCTTCCTCCCCCGCTGCAGCTGCAAACATTTTGTTTTGCCATTAGAAGTGACTTACTTAAGGGAAGCAGAATTTTACAGGCAGTTTACAGGCTGGTCTTGTTCAGTAGTTTCCAAAAGCTGGGGGAGGGGTAGGCGGCCAGCAGCCCCCCTAAGTTGGGATGGAAGGGAAGTGAGAAGTGAGTCCTGTGTGACGGACACTTTCTCCAGCACAGCCACACGACCCTCGGTGTGATCTCAGCACGTTGGGGCATTACGGGGAAGGGCAGATGGAGGCCCTGGCTAGACGCTGGAGGATCCACCCCGTCAGTGCTCCTGGAACAGCCAGGGCTCCAATGGGGGATGGCGGGGGTACCCGGCCCACAGGAGAAAGGGCAACTCCAGGCCCAAAGGGGCTCTCGGCAGCCCCCACCCCATAGCTCCTGGCGGGCAAGGTCCCCATAGCACCCCGAGGCCTCGAGAGTCATTACAGACCCAGCCTGGGAAGAGCCTGCTGAGTCTGGCGGCCGGGGAGGGAAGGGGGTCCTGGCTAGCGTGGTCCCGCTCAGCGCTGAAAGGCACTGGGCGAACGCAGAGAGGGAGCTCAGAACGGCCGGCGGCGCCCTCACGGAGGCCGGCCTGGGCAGGTCAGGAATGGTGGTGAGGAAGTCAGAGTAGGGCGACCCCGGCGGGGCTGCCTCAGCTTTCCCTCCTACCCGCGGGTCCCGGGGTGGCGCAGTTCCCCTTCTATCCGCCTCCCTCCTCAGACGAATGAAGCAGTCAGGGCTCAACAGTGCTTAGCACGCTCGGACTATGGTTTTAATAGACGTACATGGACAAGTCGATATAGACAGATTTATAATTCTATAGTCAGTCCGACATACACAGGGACGCTGTAAACAGGGGCGCGGGCCGGAGAGCGGGTGTGCACCAGTCAGGGCTCAACAGTGCTTAGCACGCTCGGACTATGGTTTTAATAGACGTACATGGACAAGTCGATATAGACAGATTTATAATTCTATACAGTCAGTCCGACATACACAGGGACGCTGTAAACAGGGGCGCGGGCCGGAGAGCGGGTGTGCAAAGTGGGCGCGCGCGCCCCGCGCTCTCCGGGCTCGACTCTTGCACGGCGGGCAGGGAGGAGGGGACTGTTCGTCGGGACAGGGGCCACCTCCTGGCCCGGAGCGGATCAGAGGGCCTGGGCCTGTGGCTAAGCTCGGGGCTGGGGTGCTTTGAGACGAGCCCTTCCCCTCCACCCGCCTTGTCCACACTACCAGCTGCGGCTCCGGGGCGCGGGGTCCGTGAGGGCTCTTCCGGGCCGCCGAGGCGGCGCGCGGTCCCACGGCAAGTTCCCGATCCCGGCCTGGACACCGTCATCCCCGGCCCAACGCCCTCTGCAACTTGGATCCGAATCGAGCTAAGGTGCGCTCGGCCGGGCCCAGCTCGGAGAGGGCGGGCGTCTTGGTTCGTACGGGCCGGGGGACTCCAGGTACGTCCAGGGTCCGCACATCCAGTTGGCAGGCGCGGCCGCTCAGTCCGGGTCCAGCGCAGGGGACACGGGCTACGAGGGCGTCCTCTCCGGGCCGCCGGGCCTCGGCGCTCGCCTGCTGTGCCGCGTCCCCTCCGCGGAGTGGGCCTCCGGGGCCCGTGGGAACCAACACACACCACCCGCGCCATCCCGAGGGAAATTGCAACTCATCCATTTTTTTTCGCGGCACTTTTCTCAGACGTCTCTTTGCTTTGCGTTTTTTTTTTTTTTTTCTTTTTTCTCTTTTGGGAGGGCAGAGTGGGGTCCGGAAAAGCAAACACGAAAGCCCCGTGGAGGTGGGGGGCGGGCGGCAGGGGCTGCGCAGGCGCGAGGCCCGGGCGCGGCCGGCCGGGGCCCTGCGTGCGTCCTCGGCGCCGGCCCGCGGCGCGGCGGGGCGGTCAGCTGTTGTACTGGCACGCGTTGAGGCCCGAGGCCGGGCCCTGCAGGCCGCCGTAGCCGAACGACGAGTGCTGCTTGGACTTGAGCCGCAGGCTGGCCAAGCTCGAGTTGCACGTGTCCCGGTAGACGCTGTAGGGCGAGGCGGGTGTGCCGTACGGGCAGGCGCCCGGGGACATGGCCGAGTTAAGCGAGGAGCCTGTGAGGTTGTTGATGTTGTTGAGGCCCGAGTTGGGCATGCCGGGCACGGCGCCCGGGCCCATGCTGGACGGCATGGTCATGGAGGAGATGGAGCTGGGCGCCGAGAACATGGACTGCGACGACAGCGGGCTCATGGAGTTGAAGAAGGTGAAGCTCTTGGTGGAGAGCGGCGCGGGCGCCAGGCTCTTGGCGGCCCAGTTGTTGTAGGAGTAGCCGGCGGCGTACACGTCCTCGTAGGGCTGCACCAAGCCGCTGAACTGCGGCACGTAGCCGCCTTTGCACAGGTCCAGCTGCTGGTTACGTTCGCGCTTCCGCCACTTGGCTCGCCGGTTCTTGAACCAGACCTGGGGGAGGAGGCAGGAGCAGGGTCAGGGCTGCCGAGGGCGGGAAGGCACTCCACCCCCACCCCGCCACCCCTCGCCCTCCTCCCGCTTCCTTCTCTCCGAATATCGTTTCATTTCTTGCACCGATGTTTCCGCTTCTGCCTTCTCCCTATAATGGTTCCTTTCCTGTCCCCAGAAAATATTAGTTTTTTTTTTTTCCGATCTTTATCCTCTTTCCCAAATTATATCCCTTTTCTTTTCCTAATACGAATTCTCTTTTGTTTTAACAGATACTCGTTTTCCTTCTTCCTCTCTCAACCAGTCCACCTAACGTCTTCTCTCCCAAACGGATTCCTGTCTTTCCGCTAAATATTCCATGGTTTTTCTTCTCTCTTTCTTTCCTGAAACATCTGACTCTCCGACTCAACTCTTCAATCTATTTCATCGCTCAAATAGTCTGTTTTCATCTTTATTGGCAATATTAGATATTTCATTTCCCAAATGTTTATTTTCGTTCGGTCCACCCGCTATCTGAACCTCTTTCTTACCCTTCAAACTATTTTCTTTATCCCCCACTTTTGATCTTTTTGATTCTTCCTCAAATATTTAGCTTCTTCCTTCTTTCCAAATATCTGACCTTCACTGTTTCCCTAAAATAGTTGATTTTTTTCTCCATACTGAATCCTTCTGCTTCTCCCTTAAATATTTAATTTCTTTCTTGCCACCTAAATATATGTCAAATGTTTCTTCACAAACATTTAATTTCCTTTCATTTCTTACTAGTTTCTCTCTAATGTCCCTCCATTTTTCTTCCACAAAATTTGGTAAGGACCTCTTTCCCAACTCTCAGATCCTCCCCGATCCTCACCTCTCTGCCTACCGCATGTCCCCTGCCCTCTCGGATCCTTCTCCAGCTTGGGCTGAGTTTCCTGAGCTAGTTTACCGGACAGTTGAATCTCACCTTTCCCCAGTCCCCAGCACTGCCACTGCCTGATTCCACCTCCACCCCACCCCTACCACCATAAACCCGGGCGGGATTAGTGAGTTCAGGATTACTGAGTGCTGTGTCCTCACTCCGAGTCCCACCGGGCTGGCCAGCCTGACTGGGGAGGGGTGAGGGCTGGGGTTATAGCAGGGAGTCTGTGGGCTAGGTGGGACTTTGGTCTGACTTGGGAGGTGTTCCCAATGATCTGATTAAATATTTGCGCACCCAGAGAAGAAATGATTTTCTTGCTGCTCTGGCAGGAAAGCCATGTGTTTACTGGGAACCAAACGGATGAGAGGAAGGAGAATGCAATCTGGTCTTGAATCTGAGACCTTGCATCTCAAAAGGGACAGGGAGGGCCACTTGGCCACCAGAACGCCCCCCCCCCCCCCCCCCCCC